TTGTGAAGGAGGTAGCAATGATCCTTAAGTGTAAGGATGCATCGCTGACAACTAAATTCAAGATAATTCCTACTATAGTATAACCGTGGGCACTCCATGAAATTGCTGAGCGGTCGGGTTAGAACGGATAAGAGGAAGTACTTCTTCACCCAAAGAGTGATTAACACTTGGAATTCACTGCCACAGGAAGTGGTGGCGGCTACAAGCATGGACGGCTTCAAGAGGGAATTAGATAAGCATATGGAGCAGAGGTCCATCAGTGGCTATTAGCCACAAGGTATAGATAGGGACTCTGGGGCAAGTGATGCTCTGTCATCTTGGTGCTTGGGGGGGGTCAACAGTGGGAGGGCTTCTAATGTCCTGGCCCCACTGGTGGACCTCCTGATGGCACTGGTATTTCTGGCCACTGTGGGATACAGAGTGTTGGACTGGATGGGCCTTTGGCCTGATCCAACATTGGCATCTCTTATGTTCTTATGTTCTTATGAAAAGTTGAAAGCAGCAATGAAAGAGGAAGACCCTACATGAGATAGATTGACTCCATAAGACCTAAGCAAGGCTGTTAACAATTGAACAATTTGGAAGTCATTCATTCATAGGGTTGCCATAAATCAGAAACAACTTGACAGCAATTAACACAAACAGATATAACTAATTAACATCTTTAAAAGGTGTATTATGATGAGCTATTTACGTCTGTATTGAGAGAGGAGGTCCCAAGTCTTTTTTCAAGCCTAGGAGAAACAGTATTCAATCTTTTTATGAATTGTTATTTGGTAGTTTCACATTGGATTCTACCTTTGACGGATCTGTTAGTCTTTAAGGTGCCCACAATTATATTTGTTTGTTTTTATTGCTCTATGTGTATGGGCTTATATATGTTGGCCTTATTTTAAAATGCTAAGGCTATTTGTTAACCCAAATACATGTATTTGGCTTTTCACCCAAGGTCTACATGAGATTACTGTTTGGTGTATTTAAATAGGCATGAAAATGAAGAATGAGAGTAGAGCATCTTGCTATCTGTTTTGGAATATTTTAATATATGGATATAGTACCAATACTGAAAACACATTTTAATATTTAGGTTCTTCTGGAGTAAAAATCAGTGTTTGTGCAAAGTGTACTGTTTAGGATTGGGCTTATTCTGTAATTATAATGACAAATATTAACTTCAGTGGTTTTGGTGATCGTATTCTAGATACTTCTTTTTAATTAAGCATTTTGCATTGTTCCTTACCTGAGTCACATTACCTGCCATAAAACGTCCACATTCTGATGCTTCTATTTGTGAATTTCAGTCACGTCTGGTTGAGCTCACAGGATAAGCCCAAGGTTGTTAAGGTCACTTGTTTTGATATGAAGCTAATGAGGGGCAAATATCTGTAGAAGTCCAAAAGGGATGGCCTGGTACAAGTTGCTAGGCAACTGACCACAAGAATTTGTTCAGTCACGAGCTGTTTCGTTTATTTATGTCAAGTACTCTGTCACCCAGTTTGACAAATGAAAGGGAGAAAAAAATACAGTTTATGTAGTAATTGTAATTATCCTTTGTCCTGCCTTCTGGAAGTTGTTCTGTCTGCTGTTCCCCCCCCCCCTGCGCAAAATGAAACCTGGCCTTTAGCCAGTTATTACCTTTTCAAGGCCGTTTGTTTTTGGTTTCAGTCATACTGACTGACTGACATGGAATTTGTGGAATTCTGCTTTGCGTGTGTAGAATGCAAAACAATAGACCTTTCATTAAAAGGCAAAGGGGATTGTGTTCATACTGTTACATTTACAACATTCTCTTTATATTTATATTACAATATTCTCTATATTATTATTATTCTATAGTACTGCTGTTGAAGCACTGAGTGACAATATATTTACTTTAGTCTTTCAGTTGTGCTTCAAGATTGGTTGTTTCACATTAGTCACCCTTTCCTTTTTTAAGCATAGTCAAATATTAATAATTCCCCACATTGCAAGTGAGAGGTCAGCCAGCCTTCTGCTTGAGCACATTCAACAGTTTTATGTGGCTTAACTGGTTAACCGTTAGTGGTATTTTACAATATATATGGCCAGAAAAAATTACATCACAACTCGTTATCTGTGAATTGGCCTTTGCCCTGTGCATATCTCTTGTATGCTAGAACAGAGCTGCTGCTGTTGGCATAGATGGTGTGAACTGGGTATTAGAAAAGTTGCATTGCAGTAGTACACAGACTTCTAAGTCTAGCCATCTCCCTTGTGGTTTTATGTGTAGAAATCCTGTTTTTCCATGAGGATGCGTTTTGTCACACAATTTGTCCACCTGCCAGTGGTATAGTCAGCAACAGATTAACCACCTTATCTTGTTCACTAACATAGTATACCCAGCTATCATTTTTATCCTGGCTTACCTGTTACTAGGTTCAGTCTGCTCTCTGTACCTTGTCTACGCATGCTTGTATGTTTACAATAATTCTTTAATTTTCATGTATTATTTGTAATGATCATTTTTGGTGAATTTGCGTGCTCTACTGTTTACAATTGTAGTGTCTGAAAAACCATAAAAAGTTAATTTAAAAAAGCAGATTAACCACCTCATCTGCTGTTTGGGGAAACTAGGTGGCCACAGGCTCAACAGAAATCTCTGTCTTCAGAAATGGAATCTGCAGTATATAGTGGTATTTTCACGAGTCACTTGTTTCGGGACCTCACCTGGACGGGAAGCAGTGTCCATGGCAAGGAAAGACGCTCAGCTAGTTGCCTCAGAAATCAGAGGGACTGGTTTCTCTCACCCGTCCTCCCTGGCTTCACCTGAGCTAGCAGCTTTGAGTGGATAGAAACAACAGTTCTCGACTCCCTCCTTCTGTCGTTCTGCTCCAGGCTCTGCACATCCTCTCAGGCTTCCATTTGCCGGAGCTGCTGCTGCCTCTCCCGCCTCCCATGACTGCTGGACCTCCCCTGGCAGGTCTCTCTGGCAGGATCCCAGGTCCTTCTTTAAAGCCACAAAGGGGGTTGCCACTTGACTGACGTACTCTTTGGACAGCAGGAGGGCCCCCATGGAGCCCTCCTGACAAGTATATTGTATATGTGTATGTTCCCTCCCCGTCCAGGCCTTAAAGGTACGGAGCCATGCCCAGGTTCCCTCTGCCTTCCTACCCACGGGTGAACTTGCCCCACCCTTCCACCTTGCGGTCAACTCCTTGTCGCTCGTGCCATCCCCTGCTGCTGCCTCTTCCGCCTCCCATGACCACTGGACCTCCCCTGGCAAGTCTCTCTGGCAGGATCCCAGGTTCTTCTTTAAAGCCACAAAGGGGGTTGCTGCTTGACTGACGTTGTACTCTTTGGACGGCAGGAGGGCCTCCTTGGAGCTCTCCTGACAGGTATATTGTATATGTGTATGTTCCCTCCCTCATTAAAATGTTAAGTCACAAGCATAATTCTGGTGTTTGGTGGATTGGTCTTGTGGAGTCCACAGGGTTCTGTTCTCTAACACATGCTCATAATATATATGTGAGGCCACTGAATAAGATTGTTTGGATTGTTTGAGCTTTGGGGTTGGGTGTTGTCAATAAGCAGATGACACCCAGTTCTATATTTCATTATCGAAGCCTCCAGATGTGTCCATCTTGGTTCTAAGCCTATGCTTTGAGGCTGTGGTCAGGTGTTCAAAGCAGTAAAAGCTGAATCCAAACAAGACAGAGGAAAGGCTGGTCAGGAAGTCTGATAAGAGGGACTTAATCCACTTGTCCTTGATGGAGTGAAGTTGGCTTTTTCAGAGCAGGTTAAGAGCTTGGGGTTACCTTGCTCTTTGAAAAAGCAGGTTGGCACAGTGGCCAGGAGACCTTTTATCAGCTGCATCTAGTTCACCAAATCTCCTCTCGTTACCTATAGTGAGCCATAACCTCATGGTTGGATTACTGCAACATATGCCCATGAAGACAATCTGGAAACGGCATCTGTTCCAAAGTGCAGCAGCCCAACTATAGCTGCTGGGAACATGTGTTACCCATTTTGAAACAGCTACATTGGCTGTCAGTCTGTTTCCAAGTTAGGGTTGCCAGCTCCCAGGTCCGGGTGGGGGTTCCCTCGCTTCTGGGGGCTTCAATCCACTCCTGGCCAGCTGGCTGCTGGGGGAAGCCCTGCCCCCAAACCATCCTCACCTGAAGCCACCCCCTCCCTCCCTGCTAAAAGATTTAAAGGGCCCTCCAGCTGGTCGGCAGGCCATGTACTCCCCGCCTATCAGCTGAAGCCTTTTAAAACTTTTAGCAGGGAGGGAGAGGGGTGGTTGCAATTTGGGGGCAGTGCTGGGGGGGGGCTTGGAGCATCTCTGTCCACCCCTGGAATGCCCCCCAAATCCCCCTGCTTGACAAGGGGACCTGGCAACCCTATTCCAAGTTCAATTCTAGGTGCTTGTGATGACCATTCAAGCCATTCAGGGCCTGGGTCCCACATATTTGAAGGACTGCCTCCTTCCATATGTCCTTGTGCACCGATTACGGTCTTCAATCAGCCATCAGTTTCCTATTCCACCACTCAGGGTGGCCCATTTTGCAATGACCAGGGCCCCGGGCCTTTTCCATCATGGCTTTTGGTCTGTGGAATGGGTTTCCTAAAGAGGTGAGGGGAGCCCCTTACTTGGAGATCTTCAGGAGATGCTGCAAGACTTGCTTGCTTGCCAGGACTTTTGAAGGGGGATTGAATGACAGGCATTTTTTAATGGGAGGAAAGGGAGAGATTTGGAGTTCATGGTTTTATTCTGGTTTTAATTGAAAATGTTTTTAACTATTATTGTAAGCCGCCTTGAACCACAAGGAAAGGAGGGGTGTGAATGTTTTAATAAATCTATGAAATAAATTCATATTGATTTTTTTCTTAAAATAGAAAAGCAGTAATATAAAGGAATAGAGAAAGGAACCATAGCTACTCTTGAAGTCCAAGTAATGCATCTAGGGTCATCAGCGGTAAACGGTGTACTTACACCATCTAGTCAACAGTAAAGAAGATCTAAACTTTTTCTCCCTTTGCAGTTCTGTTGCTTGAGAAGATAGAGAATGATGATATTCATAACAAAACTCTGAAGATTACAGACTTTGGCTTGGCTAGAGAGTGGCACAGGACAACTAAAATGAGTGCAGCTGGCACCTATGCATGGATGGCTCCCGAAGTTATCAAGTCCTCCATGTTTTCTAAAGGAAGTGATATCTGGAGGTAAATGCTTCCTAGTATTCTTACATTTATTTATTTATTGCCAAATTCTGTGCTGAGGCTTTGTCCATATGAAAGCAGATATTCCAGAACCTTTATGTATAATGAATTACACCTATAAGGTGATGAATTTTAATATTTGTATATTAATTTTACATTTGTACGTACACTGTGCTGTTAAACTGCAATTGGCTGATCTTTGAATCATAATAAATGTTGATGTATTTATTTATTAAAAACTGATTTCTGTATAGCTGAAATGAAATTTGAGGTAATTTTGGGATGAATGTTTCCCGTAACTAGGAGCCCTTCAGAAATATGATTTTTATTTGACATAAGGGAACTTCCTGACAATTTGATTCACTAAAGGACCCTTACCCTGTCTGGTCCACACAAATTCTTTGTTTTTTTATAAAGCCCCCCGAAGGGGATTTTTATTGCATTTTCTAAATACTACAGAAGAAGGGAAAGGGTACTAAACACTACAAATGGGGGAAAAGAAAAGAAAGTCCAAGTTGTAGTGATTATACACAGTGCTTACAAGTATGGCATATACATACACTCTCAGTTAATAACATTGAAGGTGAATATTAGATAACTCGCCTGTAAAAGCAATCTGGCCATTCTGACTGTTTGGAATACATTACTAGAACAAAATTTAGAATTCACTTATAGAAATATCAGGCCACCTCATCATCTCATAATGCTTAAAATAATAATTTCTGCCCACCTGACTGTTTGGAAAATCTTGCAAGAACCCAATTAAATTAAAGTCATACAGACATTAGAGACTATTTGGAATAAATTTACAGAATAAAAAATAAATTTCACTTATACAGACCTCAGTCAACATCTCATCTCGCTTAAAATTAATAATTACTGCCCACCTAACAGTTTAAAAACTCTTATCAAAACCTAATTAAATTGCAGTAATACAAACATCACATAACCTCCACCTTTCATATCACTTATAACTCTCCTCCAATCTGACTGATTACAGAATTAATAAACCCAAATTAAATCAAATTTACTAATAGCAAATATAAAAAATATCAACATCTCAGATCATTTATATTTCTAGCCTAAACCCATCAAACTCAATTAAAGAGAATCACTAAAACGTCTGCTTTTAGCTCCATCCCCCCATAAATGTTTTAGTTTTACTTTATTTTCTGGGGAGAGAGTTTCCTCCGCCCCTCCTCCCCGCTTATTAGAGGGGGACTTCACTACCCACCGACTGTCCAGCTTGCCTTCCACTTCCTGGAGAAGACTAAGTTTCACTTTGTTCATTCAGCACCTTCCATCGCCATTATCGGGGATTATTTATCTTTTTCTTTAAATTGCAAAAAGTCCGAAAAGTCTGTTTGATCGCTTGATCGCTTCTGACGATTGTCTAAAACAATCCATTCCTGATTTTAGCTCTTCGGGGTTTGTTTATCTTCTTGTTTTTAAATTGCAAAAGTCCAGAATAACAGTCTGTTCTCTTAAACGTTTCTAGTGATTCTCCAAAACAGTCCATTCTTGATTTTAGCTGTCCTCCCCCTAAAAATCTTTTATTTATTTTATTTTCTGGAGAGTTTCCTCCCCCTCCCCAATTGCTAGGGGAGGACTTCGCTAGCTCTGCAATCGCCATTTTCTGAGATGTTTAATATCTTTTTTTAAAGTTCCCAATGTCTGCATATTCGCCCAAGAGCTTCTAGCAGGTTTTCCAACACAGTCCATTCTTTCTTTTAGCTCTGTCCACCCCATCCATGTAGAGTTGACTTTGCTGTCAGGAGAGAGAGTTTCCTCCCCCCCCCCCGCTTATTAGGAGCGGACTTCACTTCATTTTAAACCTTTCCATCCACCTTTTTTAGAGATGTTTATTTCCATTATAGATTATAAAAGTCTTGATGCTTCTTAGACGCTTCTTAAAGGCTCTCCAAAACAGCCCATCCGCACTTTAAGTTCCGTTTACCCGGTGAATGTATATTTTGTTGTCTGGAGGGGGAATTCCCTCCCCCTCCTGCTTCTTTGGGCAAACTTTGCTTTTCTGAAATGCTTCATTTCACCATTACTCACTCTTCACATGTCAATTCAGTCGTTTTCGCTAATGTGCTTTGTTGTTGATCGGTCACTACTTGCTTGGTCTGGTGTGCATGGCTTCATCCAATGCTGGCACTCAGCGGGGAGACCATCGGGGCAAAAGGACGCCTCAACCCCCCTGGCAGCATGCCGGGGGGGTGGCGAACCTCAGTGCCCCATGACTCAGGACCATTCCCAATCGCACCCCCTCTCTACCTGCTGGTTTACGGTCCATGTCCCTAGGAGCTCCCAGGAGAGACAGCCGCCATCAGCCCGCCAAAACCGGAAACCATCCACACAAATTCTTAATAAGTTAAATCAGATTGGCTTATTTCCAGAAGATCTGTTCTATGGAAGCCTATACAAGGCATGAACAGCTTTCGTACAGAGGCTTCATGACACTGAATTACAAACTGAAGAAGCTTTGCTACCCAAGAACTTCAGAAAACTAAAATCTTGGCCTAATTATACTGCTGCCCCTTATTTATTTAACATTACTTATGAGCCCTATAGACGGGCCTTTTCCAGAACCCATTTTGAGGTACTCCTTTCCGTTGTACTGCAAGGTGTAAATTCACTCAAGTTCCAATGCATGAGCATATATGGCCATGCATGGCTAATATGGTAGAATCAGTTACTCATGTCCTCCTGTTCTGTAGATTCTATCAGGAGGAACGAGATCATCTTATACTACCCCTTCTGTCTAGATGTAACCCTCTGCAGTCTTATCTTGATTTTAGGCCAGAAGTCCTACACAAATTCCTCCTAGAAGACATTCAGAGTTCAGTGACTTAAACTGTGGTGAAATTTTGTTTCTTAGCTATTAGGAAACAAAAACTTATTTTAATCTCTCGTATCAGAATTGTACTGTTTTACTGGCTCTTGCTATAATAAATCAGATAAATCAAAAGGCATTCAGAATATGAGATGCAAAAAGTCACATTTTTTAATTTCTGTAATATGGCTTGGAAGTATCCTAAGTATCCATACTAAAAGAAAAAATCCTGCACCCACACTCTCTGAGAATACCTGTTACTTCTGTCAGTTATGCAAATTAAGCATATTTGATTGAGTTGCTGCATAACTTATTCTGCATTGTATTACTACTTTGGAGAACACATTCTGCCCCCGCTCTTTATAAGGGAGATATGCAGGGCACCAAAATGATACCTATAGCCCTTCTCCAGCTTTTAAGATTTCAGGTGGAAATTGTCTGACTGCATTGGATCTTAAACCAAAGGCTGTAATTGTATACTGATATGAAGGGGTTATCTTTAACTAAATTGCAGTGGGTTGGATCCATTGGGGTATTTTTGGTGACAGAAGGCAGTTGATATTTCTCAATCCCCCCCCACACACACACACGACAGAACTCCAGTTCCCCCTTATACTGTTCCTGCAGGGTCCTCTGTTCCCCAGAAACAGCATTTCAGGAGGCATTTTGGCCTTCAAGAAGGAGGGGAGAGACCAAGCCCAATCTTGTCAGATCTCAGTTGCTGAGCAGGGCCAACCCCGAGAAGTATTTGGATGAGAGACCTCCAAAGAGTACCAGGGTCAGGAGGCAGAAGCCGGCTATCAAGCCACTTCCCTGAATGCCCTCCATGCCCCAGTAGGAGCCGCCAGAGGTCACCATGACTTCCAGGCAAGGGCGTGCATGCACACACACAAATGCAAAAAAGGAGGAGGAGGAGGAGGGGAGAAGTGAAGAAGCCACACTCTACCGATGGAAACTCTTTTTTCAGTGCAAATTTTTATCAGGATCCAAACCTTCATGTTTGGTGTGGGGAATAAGACGATAGATTCCCAAATGCTACTTAAGTACAGGTCCTGATTAACTTCCACTGTGCCAATGTAGTTTGAGAGAAAGTGTGTGTGAGAGAAAATGTTAATGGTTTTTTCATAGCTTACTAAGACACTAGCTTCTCTTTGGGTTTAACAAAAGTTATTTCTCTTCCTTTTGTCTTGCATGCTTTTCTTGTATTACAAAAATAAACATTCAGAATTGAAGTTTCTAGTTTGCAGGGTTCATTTGATAGCTAAACTCTATGGGCATGATCCTTCCTTCCCCAAGCAGTTTCAACAGTACTCCGTAAAGTAACCCATAATGGAAGGTGATGGCAGGGAATGGACAGCCTCTGTTCACCCGCCCTTATCTCCATTCAGTCTTTGTCCCATCTCCTTTAACAAGAAACATAAGCTCAGAATCTTCCAGTCATCACAATGGACTGATGGAGTACCTGCACACACACCCAACATCTGCAGGCTGGGGGAGAGGGAGTGATGCCACGTAAGGACACCATAGTAAAGGTAAAGGTTCCCTTGCTCAAAAGCCAGTCAAATCCGACTCTAGGGTTGCGGTGCTCATCTCCGTTTCAAAGCCGAAGAGCCAGCGCTGTCCGAAGACGTTTCCGTGGTCATGTGGCTGGCATGACTAAACACCAAGGTGCACGGAACGCTGTTACCTTCCCACCGAAGTGGTACCTATTTATCTACTTGCAATTTCTTGCTTTTGAACTGCTAGGTTGGCAGGAGCTGGAACTAGAGATGGGAGCTCACTCCATCATGCAGCACCCGGGTCTCGAATTGCTGAACTACTGACCTTCCACAGCCTGCAGTTCAGTGTCTTAACCACTTGAGCCACCGCAGGTCCAAGGACACCATAGTGGTTGTCTTTTGGCATAATGTCCTGTGTCACTACTGGCTCCCACTGCTACTGTCCTATGTATCTTGTCCCTTATTCATCTCTATAGCCTCTTATGTGGGAAAAAAACCCATACTTCGGAGCCAAGGGTGTGGGGGGAAGAGACCAGCGAGGCCCGAGTGGCTTGCAGCTGCCAGGCCTCGCTTCGGAGCCAAGGGGGGGA